AAAGGAAGACCTTTCTCTCTGTCTCTCTCTCTCACTGTCCACTCTGCCTGTCAAAAAAAAAAAAGAAATTAAGTTGATGCTGGCTTCATAGAAAAAAATTGGGAGGATTCCCTCCCTTTCAATTGTTTTGACTAACTTGCGAAGAACTGTAGTTAGTTCTACTTTAAATGTTCGGTAGAATTCAGCAGTGAAGCCATCCAGTCCTGGGCTTTTCCTTGTTAGGAAGGTCTCTATTCCTGTTTCCTTTTCCGTCTTGGTAATGAGTCTGCTTAGGTTTTCTGTGTCTTCATGGTTCAGTTTAGGTAGGTTGTTTGTGTCCAGGAATCTATCCATTTCTTCTAGGTTTTTGTTTTTTGGCATCCAGCTCTTTGTAGTAATTTCTGATTATTTATATTTCTGTGGTGTCTGTTGTTACATTTCTTTTTTCATCTTTCATTTTATTTTATTGTGTCTTTTTTTTTTGGTTGCTTGGGCCAATGGTATGTCGATTTTGTTTGTTTTTTCAAAAAACCAGCTCTTGATTTTACAGATCTTTGTATTGTTTTTTCATTCAATTTTGATTTGTTCTCCAATTTTAATTATTTCTTTTCTCCTAGTTTTGGATTTGGTTTGCTGTTGTTTTTCTAGATTCTTGAGATGCATTGATAGCTCCTTTATTTGGTGTCTTTCCAATTTCTTGATCTAAGCACCAATTGCTATAAACTCTCCTTGTAACACTGCTTTTGCTGTATCCCATAAGCTTTGATAGGCTGTATTGTTGTCTTTGTTTCCAGAAATTTTCGATTTCTCTTTTGATTTCTTCTATGACCCACTGTTCATTCCAGAGCATGTTGTTCAGTCTCCATGTGTTTGCATATATTCTAGAGATTCCCAAGTTGATTTCCAGCTTCATTCCATCATGATCCAAGAAGATGCATGGTATGATTTTGACGTTTTTGAATTTGCTGAGACTTGCTTTATGGCTTAGCATGTGGTCAATCCAAGACAAAGTTCCATGCACTGTTGAGAAGATATATATTTTGCAACTGTAGGATGAAAAGTGCTGTAGATATCTGTTATGTCCATTTGGTCTATAGTGTCAATTAACTCTGCTGTTTCCTTGCTGATTTTCTGTCTGGTTGATCTGTCCTTTGTTGAAAGTGGGGCACTGAATACTCCCAATACTATTGTATATAAGTCTGTATCTCCCTTTAGATCCCTTAACATTTCTTTTAAATAGCCTGGTGCCCTGTAATTAGATGCATATATGTTTATAATAGTCACATCTTCCTGATGAATTGATCCTCTAATCATTACATAGTGTCCTTCTTTGTCTATTAACAGTTTGTGTTAAAGTCTATTTTGTCTGATATTAGGATACCTACAGCAGTTATTTGGTTTCTGTTGGCATGGAACATCTTTTTTCATCCTTTCACTTTCAGTCTGATTGCATCATTGTTGGGAGATGTATTTGTTGTAGGCAGCAAATAGATGGGTTTTGTTTTTCAATTCATTCAGCCAGTCTGTATCTTTTAACTGGAGAGTTGAGGCCATTTACATTCAAGGTGACTACTGATACTGATAAATAATGATTTTGCCCTGCCTTTTTCCATAAATATTCCCATTTATTACTTTGGATTTCTGTTGTACTTTTACTAAGATTTCCTTCCTATACCTTCTTTCATATTGATGACCATGTTTCTGTTTCTGTGTGCAACACATCCTTAAGCATCTTCTGCATGGCTGGATGTGTAGTGACAAATTTCAGCTTCTGTTTGTCATGGAAGGTATTTATTTCACCTTCATTCATTCACAAGAGCTTTGTAGGGTACAGTATTCTGGGTTGAAAGTTCTTTTCTCTTAAGGCTTGGAATATATCTCATCATTCTCTTCTAGCCTGTAGGGTTTCTGATGAGAAGTCCACTGTGAGTTAATTGGAGATCCTCTGAAAATAATCTGCCATTTCTCTCATGCACATTTTGGAATCTTTTGTTTTTCTGTGGAGAATTTGACTACAATGTGTTGTGGTGAAGATCTTTTCTGGTCACATCTATTAGGAGTTCTATGTGCTTCCTGTACTTGGATGTCCCTTTCTCCAAATTAGGGAAATTTTCTGTTGTTATTTCTAATTCCTTCTTTTTTTTTTTTTTTTTATTTTTTTGACAGGCAGAGTGGACAGTGAGAGAGAGAGACAGAGAGAAAGGTCTTCCTTTGCCGTTGGTTCACCCTCCAATGGCCGCCGCGGCCAGCGCGCTGCGGCCAGCGCACCGCGCTGATCCGATGGCAGGAGCCAGGAGCCAGGTGCTTTTCCTGGTCTCCCATGGGGTGCAGGGCCCAAGCACCTGGGCCATCCTCCACTGCACTCCCTGGCCACAGCAGAGGGCTGGCCTGGAAGAGGGGCAACCGGGACAGAATCCGGCGCCCCGACTGGGACTAGAACCCGGTGTGCCGGCGCCGCTAGGCGGAGGATTAGCCTAGTGAGCCGCGGCGCCGGCCGTCTAATTCCTTCTAATCTTTTCCCTGTTTCTACACCTTCAGAAACTCCTAGAGCCCGTATGTTGGGTCATTTGATAATATCCTGTAAATTCTCAACAGTGTTTTTTAGTTTTCCGATTTCTTCTTCTTGTGTTTTGTCTGACTATATAATTTCCTGTACTTTGTCTTCTAAGTCTGATATTCTTTTGTTTCATCGATGTTGTTAAGGCTTTCCCCTGTATTTTTTATTTGTTCTATTGAATTCTTCATTTCTGAGATTTCATTTTGATTTCTCTTTAAGATCTCAATTTCCTGAAAGAAATTTTCTTTCATGTCATGTATGGATTTCATTAGTCCATGCATTTACTTCAGATTACATCTAAGCAATCCTATGACCAATTTTTTTAATCCATTTCTGGCATTTTTTCAATCTCACCATCTTCACAATCTAGTACTGAAGTGTTGTATTCTTTTGGGGGCATCATTTTGTCTTCCTTATTCTTGTTTCTTGAATTGGTGTTTGCTGTTTGGCATTTGTGGAGATATTCATTAGTTTCTTGGTTTTTTCGCTGTGGCAGCTTTCATCTTTTGACTAAGTCTGTTTGGATTAGCGGAATGTCTGCTTTCAGTGACTACCTAGAGGCATGTGCTGCATGTGGCCAAGGAGCTATGCCCAGTGCTCCAGGGTGAAGGGTGTGTCTGAAGTGACACACCCAGGTTTGGTGTGGTAAATCTTTTTTTTTTCTTTAATCAGAATGCAGGTTTGTTCTTGTCTTTTGTTGTAGACTCAGCTGAGCTCCTCTCCTTACAGGAGACCAGTGCTTGGGCATTAGCCTAGTGGGTATATTATTTGTCTGTTCTGTCACAAGGACCGCACAAAGGATCTGTGCAGTCCTCAGTGTAAGCTCAGATTCCACAGCAATGTTCTTTACCAGGTAACCAGGAAGCCCTGATCATGTGGAGCCTCCCACAGTGACTGAGTCCTCCCACACAGCCTCAGCATGTTCACAGTCCTGGCCCACAAGCCTCTCACAGTCATGAGCACCCAGTCCCCTATCTATTCTCCCCACCAGACTCAGCAGTCTTCACTTGGCTGGATGCTGGGCACAGACATGAGCTGGCACAGGTCTCACATATGTCCAAAATGAAGTCTGCTCTCTATCAGCTTGTTACATGATGCAGTTACAGGGTGATCGGGAAGAGAGTAAACATACCGCCCCCCCCCCCCGTTTTTTCTCCTCTAGTTTGGCAGATATACTATCTCCCTTGGGGCTCCAAGCTGGATTCCCTCTAGGCTTTTCCTGCAGCTTCTTCGCCAGTGGCTTGGGCTGCTGCAGTCTTGTCTCACCTCACTCTCCAATGCTATCACAGAGGTTCTCAGCTACTGGAGTCCAGAGTTGTGTGCATCTATGCCCTCCATGTAGACCACTGTGTCCCTACAACTTGCCTAGAGCTTCCTCTGCTATTTTCTCCCTAACTCTTCCCTGAGACAGCACTCTCCACTTTTTCTAAATTATCTTCTTAGACTGCAGCAGCAAGCTCCCTCCCTACACCACCAACTTATTCCCCTCCCTCTGATATTAAGAACTAATTTTAAAAACCAAAAATGCAGGGCTGGCACTGTGGCGCAGTGGGTTAATGCCATGGCCTGAAGCGCCAGCACCCCATATAGGCACTGGTTCGAGACCCAGCTGCTCCATTTCCAATCCAGCTCTCTGCTATAGCCTGGAAAAGCAGTAGGAGATGGCCCAATTTCTTGGGCCCATGCATGTGCGTATGGGAGACCTGGAAGAAGCTCTTGGCTCCTGGTTTTGGTTCAGCACAGCTCCAGCTGGCCGTTGTGGCCAATTGGAGAGTGAACCAATGGAGGGACGATCTCTCTCTCTCTCTCTCTCCCTCTCTCTCTCTCTGCCTCGCCTCTCTCTGTGTAACTCTGACTTTCAAATAAATAAATCAATCTTTAAAAAAAAAACCCTCTGCTGCTCCCAGCACTGTATCTACCCACTTACCAAAAATAGTGTGCACATTCTCTTCTACCTCTCCTATTAGCAACCTGCCCTGCCCATTTAAAGAAAGACAATATATTTGTAAAGATGCTTTAAATTTAAATATTGGGGCCAGCACTGTAGTGAAGTGGGTTAATCCTCCACCTGTGCTGCCAGCATCCCAAATGGGTGCCGGTTCTAGCCCTGGCTTCTCCTCTTCTGATCCAGCTCTCTGTTATGGCCTGGAAAAGCAACAGAAGATGGCCCAAGTACTTGGGCCCCTGCACCCACGAGGGAGACCTGGAAGAAGCTACTGGCTCCAAGCTTTGAATCAGCACTGCTCTGGCCATTGCAGCCACCTAGGGAGTAAACCAGTGGATGGAAGACCTTTCTCTCTGTCTTTCCCTCTCATTGTCTGTAACTCTACCTGTCAAATAAATAAAATCTTTTAAAAAATTTAAATGTTCATATTGTGGTTAGAAAACTTACTATGTTCAGTATTTTAATATTCTCCTACAAGTACAGGGACCCACAAAGATGAAAGCAAAAGTTAATCAATACCCGGTGTTCCAATGGCTCTGACATATGAGAAGACAATGTTTGCTTTCCCTTTTAGAGCATTTTCTGCACTCTGAAGGTCTTCCGGGGTGGTAATATATTTAACTTCATTAAAAAGAAGAGCACTGGAATAAATACAGATATGATTAGTAGAATAATCTCATACATACTTAGTTATGCAATACTATATATTTTTGTTCAAATAAAAAAGCTAACCAAAAAAGAAACTAACTGCCTTTGAACAAGTAATCAGTAAGAACTGAGGCATTTTAATAACACCAAATTGAAATCACTCTCTAGATTACTAATCATTACCTGAGAACATTTCCCATTTGATTCCTTCATAGTGGTAATTACAATTATTTATATATTTATTTGTTTATCCCTGCCTTGCTCATTAAACTGTTATCCCCTTGAGGTCAAGACCTTGTGATTTTATCACTGTATTTGTGATGATTTAGAATAGAGCCTAATAAACCATAGGTAATTATTGAGTCAGCATAAGGAAAATAGGGCAGGAATTATTTATTTCCACTCTTCATTTGAAAAAATGCAAGTTCAACACAGTGACCCTCAAAGACACATTTACTGCATCAAGGAATCAGGGCCAGAACACAAAACAAGAGTTCTCAGTCCTGCTCCATTGATCTTTCCACTGACCACGTCTTCTAAGTCATCTTGTAACATATGAATCAGACTAACAGACTATAATCTTTTATCTACAATTATCCCATTTCTTAGTTGCATACTTGCAGGTAGCTTCTGCATCACTAACAACTCAGTTATTTTGGTTATGCTAAACTTGAAGGATTTTTAAAAGTTGTTATGGGTCCACATAGTTAAATAAGCAGAAGTTTATTCAAAGAATTCCAATAAATTAATCAAATAGTTTTCTTTTAAAGAAAACATAGTGCTTTTTCCCTGACATAGCAGATGTCAGACATTGAACTTTTTGATCTCAAGATTCCTTTGCAGCCTAAAAAATTAACAAGGCCAGCGCTGTGGCACAGCAGGTTAAGCCACTGCCTCGGTTTGAGTCTCCACTTCTGATCCAAATCCCTGCTAATGGGCCTGGGAAAGCAGCAGCGGATGGTCCAAGTGCTTGGGCCCCTGCACCCACCTTGGAGACCTGGAAGAAGCTCCTTGCTCCTGGCTTCAGCCTGGTCCAGCCCCAGTTATTGAGGCCATTTGGGGGATTAACCAGCAGATGGAGGATCTCTCTCCCTCTCGCCCTCTCCCTCTCTCCCTCTCACCCTCTCCCTCTTGCCCTATCTGTAACTCTGCCTTTCAAATAAATAAATAAATCTTTTTTAAAAAATTACTGAGGTCCTCAAAGAGCTTTTGTTCAGGCAGAAGTGAACTTCAAAAAGTTTGGGGAAAGTGTAACTAAAAGATAAGTTTATTTCAGTGCCAAAAGATGTTGAAATTCATGCATAAAGTAATCTTCAAAAAGTTCATGGAAAATCCACACTGCTTAAAAACTATGCTTATAATTCAAAACAATGTGCACCAAAGCAAACTTACCTCTTAATTCCATTTTTCATGAACTCTTTGAAGTATTTCATTGTTTTGATCCATCGGTAATTGCCAAATTAGAAAATAAAAATTACACACACACACACACACACAAATTAGAGTGCCAATTCGAGTCCCAGTTATTCTGCTTCCAACCCAGCTCTCTACTAATCTGCCTGAAAGGCAGTGGAAGATGGCCCAAGTGTTTGGATTCCTGCCTCCCATGTGGGAGATATGGATTGAGTTCTAGGCTGCTGACTTCAACCTGATCCTGCCCCAGCAACTGCAGGCATTTGGCGAGTGAACCAGCAGAGGGAAGATCTTTCTCTCTTTTCTTTCTCTTTCAAATAAAAAAATGAAAATTTATTTTTTTAACATTTATTTCTTCGAAAGGCAGAATTAGAGAGAGAAAGAAAGAGAATCTTCCATCCACTGATTCATACCCCAAATGGGTACAACAGTCAGGGCTGGGCCAGGCCAAAACCAGGAGCCAAGAGCTTCATCCAGGTCACCCACATGTGTAGCAAGGGCCTAAGAACTTAGATCATCCTTTTCACTGTTTTCCCAGGCACTTTAACAAGGCGTTGGATCGGAAATGGAATGCCTCAATGGCGGCCTCAAAAATTCATTTTTAAAAGCCTAAAATGCTGAAAACAAATATTTTTAAAAATAGGACTGTCAAATATAAGTTATCAAAGCCAAGATTTATTAGGCACCTGTCATATGTCAGGCATAACAGGAAACAATTTATAAGTAGGGGTAATTTACCACCTTTTGGGTTGCCCACCTCTGAAGTCCTCTCTTTTGCTCTGGGAATTCACAGATTTCTGTCTCCATGGTGGGCAGAGCCTGAATCCTGTCATAAAAGCTGCTAATACCATAAACTTACTATCACAAGTCCCTGTGCAAGACATGGCTCAATGACCCAGAATCACTTGCCTGAGATTCTGAACCAGGAACAAGTGATACAAAGCACACAGGCAGCAGGGAACTACTTCAAGAAGCAGACAGTAACAGTCAACATCCATGTACCAGTGCCAACAGTGCTAGTGACAGCCCCTGTGCAGGCGATGCCAGCTGTGGTGTCCTATGTTCAGCAATGACACAGCAGCCCTCCCTGGACAAGCTCTCCAGCATGGTTTTGAGCTTCATTCAGAGCCGCACAACCTCTGTGCCCAGTTCTTCAGCCCTTCCTGGGAGGCTGGAACTTCATTGAGCCATTTCAAATCCTTTGCTGCACAGGCCACTCAGACCTATGTTCTGGGGCTTCTAGGGAAGAAACCTCAGCAATGCACTCTGCCTTGCTGCATTTTCATGGCAATCACCTGAGATCAGTATGATCATGAACATCATTTTAAAGATAAAGTCATGGGGCTGTATTGTGGCACAGTGGGGTAAGCCACCGCCTGCAATGCCAGCATCCCATGTGAGTGCTGCTTTGAGCTGGAGTCCCAGCTGCTCCGCTTCCGATCCAGCTCACTGCTAGTGGCCTGGGAGAAGCAGCAGAAGATGGCCCACGTCCTTCGGCCCCTGTCACCCACGTGGCAGATCTGGATGGAGTCCCTGCCTCCTGGCTTCAACTTCCAGTAGATAGAAGATCGATCTCCAGTTCTGGCCCCCAACCTCACCACTGCACCCACCCCACCAAAAATAAATCTTAAAACAAATACAGGGCTGGTGCCGCTGCTCACTAGGCTAATCCTCCGCCTTGCGGCACCGGCACACCGGGTTCTAGTCCCAGTCGGGGCGCCGGATTCTGTCCCGGTTGCCCCTCTTCCAGGCCAGCTCTCTGCTATGGCCAGGGAGTGCAGTGGAGGATGGCCCAAGTGCTTGGGCCCTGCACCCCATGGGAGACCAGGATAAGTACCTGGCTCCTGCCATCGGATCAGCGCGGTGCGCCAGCCGCAGCAGCCATTGGAGGGTGAACCAACGGCAAAGGAAGACCTTTCTCTCTGTCTCTCTCTCTCTCACTGTCCACTCTGCCTGTCAAAAAAAAAAAAATGCAGATAAGGTCATAGAGGTTACAGAGGTCACTCTGCCTCATGTGCCAGAGCTTGGTAAGCCATCCTGACACACCAAACTACCGCATTCATGATCTAAGGGTGCTGAGCTTTTCCCCAGTGGCTTTGTCACTTTAACAGACCCCTTCACATGCAGTCTCCAGAACATGGGGCTATCTGGGCATGGCTAGCAGTTCCACCAGTCTGCGCTCCTGCACTCCAATCCGAGGAGGAGAAATCCTGACAGAAACGGGTTACGGGCCAAGTCTCTCGGGGATTTCTTGCTCTCGTGAGCGGGGAGGGTCAGAGAGCCTGGGGCCACTCTGAAAAGGCGCTCTCCTGCCCTGGAAGGCCTTCCTTTTCTTTGGTAGGCATTTCCTGGGCCTCTCCTAGCATAACCATCTGGGAGACAAGACGGATGGCCCAGAAGCCAACGGACGTCAGCAAGAGATGGAACAGGGCTGCTCGACTCCACTCTGCCAGCGGTGGGCTGTTTAGTTTTCTTTCACAAAGAAGCCATTTAAAATTTTCTGTCATCATTCAAATTCTTAAAAATCCAATAAAAAGGAAATGTTATTTTCTAATTAACCAAACCACAGCCCCCAGGATGAAGAGAGAGTGAGAGAGAATTACTTTCATCTAAATCAATTATATTGTGACTGGGAAGTTTACATATAAAATGAAACACCCCAAAGTGTCTTATTAAGCATTTTCTAAATATGGTTAAGGGAAACACCCAAGTTGAAGCTACCTCTGAAATGCAAATTCAATGTTCCACAAACACCAGTCTTAGACTATCTGTCATATATTCTATATTCTCCCAGGAATAATCATGGCTTATAACTTCAGACAATTTCTGCTCTTCCCATTTTTAACTACCAACATGTGAAGCTTCCAAATCCACTGACCATCAATCTACTATTTACCAAGCACCTAACAGATGCTATGCACCATGCCATGCACTGGTAGAAGTATTCTATATAAAGAAGTCACAGTTCAGTTAACAGAGCTGTGAGGAATTCAAATCCAAGACAAGTAATTTTTTACTACAAGTTCTCAGGAAAATGAACATCACTATCAAACAAAAACCCACCTGACAACACCATGTAGGAATAAATCTGATTCAGATTAAAAAAAAAAAAAAAAAACAGCAGTATTTCAACACCTATTAAAAAAGAGACCAGCATGGGCATAGTTGAAGAGTTTCAGGGTAAAACACCTCTAAAAATAGCTGTCGCAGAGGCTCTACAGTCCCGTCACCTAACCACTTGATCCCCAGGCTCTGCAATAATGTGTTCAAAGAAAAAAATACTCACAGAAACTATGATGGTTGAAAGTTATTCCCAAAACATGTCGAAGTCCATGTTATGATGAGTAGCCTGTTAACTTGGAAGGCAATTTTCTATTTTCTGACAAAATATAGTCAAAAACATCAAGGACCATGTCTCACGGAAAAGTTAATAAGACTGTATCATTTCTCACTGGATAATCTTTTTGGTACATTTGGTGACTTGGGGAGTCAATAATGGGTAGAAACAGAAGAAAAGCCCTTCTTTCCACCTGCTGCCTTTCAGCAAATATCCCCACCAGACGTACACCATGAACTCTGT